CAAATATATTATTATAATATGAAATATTATAATCTAATTTTATGATACATTCATATATCAGCAATTTCAGTGGGGGTTTCCACCAAAGGGATCAATAAAGTTCTATTCTATTCTCTATAATATGCTGTAATGCAATATGATGATATAATGCAATGTAATAGACTTTTGAATAATATGTAATATGATATGTTATATTTTAATCTAATATGCAATTTTATGATATATGATATGCTGTAATGTCATTTAATATAATTTAATGTAATATAATGGACTTAAATAACAATTATATTTTATAATAATATAAAATAACACGTAGTATAATAACCTAATGTGCCATGCTATGTATATGTATGATATGCTTTAATGTAATATGATGTAATGCAATAAAATAGACATTTTAATCACCAATAACAGTTATATTTTATAATATAAGACGTAATGTTATCGTGTAATATGCTACTAAATGATATGATGTGCTGTAATGTCATTTAATGTGATATAATCCAATGCAATTCCTTTAACAAATAACTTATAACAATTATATCTTATATTACAGTAACTTGTAAGCCGTCCCTGTTGTGATCTTAATTCATCAGGAGGTCATAAATGTTAAATAAACGTTAGATAAATAAACGGCCCGACCTTTCTGGACAGCACGCAGAGGAAGATGAAGATGAACATGCCCTGGAAGGCGTTGCTGATGGTGAACAGGTACGCCGTCAGGGTGGTCTCATGGAGGATGTGCAGAACTCCGAAGGTCCAGGTGGCGCCGAGGACGAACAGCAGCGCCAAGGCTCCGCGGGCACAGGACCTGGACGAGAGTTAAACACCTCAGATCAGCCTGCGAGGACGCCGGACCACGACGACGACTTTAACGTTTTAGCAGGTGGTCCTACCTGATGTTCTCATAGTGGCTGATTTCAGGCTTTTTCACAGCAGTGTGCCGGTACACCTTGTAGATGATTACCACGAACGCCAAGAGATTAACCTTTAGCGGAAACCCAGCGAAAACAAACACAATCAGATGAATATTTATCTCTGAAACAATCCCCCGCTCACTGATTTGAATTAATGCTTTTGTTTTGCGTTAATGATCTCACCAGGATGATCAGGCAGGCGGGTCCGATGAAGCTCCAGATGAAGTGGTTTTCTGTGCTCAGCCAACACCTGCAACACAAAATGGGATTTAATGGATGTTTAGTTGATGTTTTATATTAGCTTAACGTAGCTTCGTGCTAATAAAGACAACATTTCTCTTATCTAAGGACAAAAACATGTACTTAGCACACCAACAAGAGACTTTCTCAGATCCCCAAACCTTTAAAAATGATTAACTTACTTTCTGCCAACAGTCCAAACACCTTCTCTTATCTGCCTCCTGTACTTATAATCAATATCATTTGTTGAGAAACCGACGCCCGAGCTTTCCTTTTCCACTCACACTCTGTCGGTGCCGTAGTACTTGGAGCCCAGCGTGGCCGAGATGGCCACCACCACCGCCGGGCTGCCGTAGCCGAAGATGTAGAAGTTGCGGTGCAGGAAGCCTTTGTTGTAGATGACGCCCACCACGATCAGGTACAGGTGGATGCCCTCGATGCACATCCAGGCGAAGGCCGCCAGGAAGAAGTAGTGCAGCAGGCCGGCGATGACGGCGCAGAAGAGCTGCAGAGAGCAAGAGGTTTTAAAAAACACAGATTTTATACCTGCATGCTACACGTCGGTTTAATTTATGAGTTCTGGTTCTTTAAAAGTTTGGTTGATTTCCTTGGTGGCATGAAACTAGAGTCACAGTCTTTCATTTTCAAGAAAACATCAAAACAACCTGTGAGACACCATCATGTTGTTCTGTCGGACCGAGAAACTAAAATATTAAACGTAGAAGATCCAGAAGATCCAGAAATGCTGCAGATTCTTACATTTGTGCTTCATAAAATCAACCAACTACTCATTTGCTCTATAAAACATTGGAAAACGTTGGGAAACGTCCATCACAGCTCCGTAAATCTGAAGCTGGCGTCTTTTAACGCAAAGTTCTGTCTGCACAAGAACCTAAAATATGACATAATAGAAGATCCACAAATCCCAAAATATAATTTAAAAAAAATCAAGTGTTTCATGTATTAATGTCGTGAAATTGGCTCCTAGAAGAACAAGTGTTGGTTGACGTTCTTTGGAGTCATTGTTTAAGATCCTTTAAGGCACATTTAAGGGTAAAAACGGCTTCCTTAAGGGTTTTTTGAGCAGCTAACAATGTTCAGCACCTTCGTTTTTCAAGACAGACAAATAAAAACGTGACAGATTTTATACCTACATGGTGCACATCAGTCGATGTTCTTACACATTTCTAAACTTCGCCTAATTTATGAGCGTTGTTCTGGTTCTTTAAGGTTCTTTGAGGCACTTAAAGTTTGGTGGATTTATTTGGTGGCATGAAATTAGAGTCACAGTCTTTCATTTTCAAGAAAACATAAAAAAAAACCTGTGAGAAACCATCTGGTAGCATGTTGTTCTGTCTGACCAAGAACATACTATAATAGAAGATCCACAAATCTGTGCTTTAAAAATAGGTCCTGTTATCGGAAATATAATAAAAATCAAGTGTTTCATGTTTTGAAATTGGCTCCTAGAAGAACAAATGTTGGTTGAAGTTCTTTGGCGTCACTATTTAAGATCCTTTAAGGCACATTTAAGGGTAAAAACCGCTTCCTTAAAAGGTTTAACAAAGTTCAGCACCTTCACTTTTCAAGACAGACAAATAAAAACGTGACAGATTTTATACCTACATGGTACACATCAGTCGACGTTCTTACACATTTCTAAACTTCGCCTAATTTATGAGCGTTGTTCTGGTTCTTTAAGGTTCTTTAAGGCACTTAAAGTTTGGTGGATTTATTTGGTGGCATGAAATTAGAGTCACAGTCTTTCATTTTCCAGAAAACATCAAAAAAAAAACCTGTGAGAAACCATCTGGTAGCATGTTGTTCTGTCTGACCAAGAACATACTATAATAGAAGATCCACAAATCTGTGCTTTAAAAATAGGTCCTGTTATCGGAAATATAATAAAAATCAAGTGTTTCATGTTTTGAAATTGGCTCCTAGAAGAACAAATGTTGGTTGAAGTTCTTGTTTTAAGATTCTTTAAGGCACATTTAAGGGTAAAAACCGCTTCCTTAAAAGCTTTAACACTGTTCAGCACCTTCACTTTTCAAGACAGAGAACTAAAAACTTCCCAGATTGGTTGTTTCTGTCCAAACAAATGAACTAAAAGAGGATTCAAAGCGCCCACCTTGTGCGAGATCATGTTGATGCCCACCAGGAAGATGAACTCGGCCATGAACAGGCTGCAGCACAGGTTCTTGTGGATGGTGGTTCTGGTGCTCTGGATCTCGCTGAAGAACCAGAAGGTGAAGATGCACATGGACAGACAGATGAGGGAGATGATCATCCCCAGCTGGGTGATCCGGGTCAGGACGGTGTAGTGGGCCGCCAGCTGGGGACACAAATGGGAACGGGAGGTGTTTCATTCGCGGCTTCGCGGCGTTGTGGAGCCGCGATCTGCTCGGAATCACTCGACAGGTAGGAACGAGGCGACGCCGCTCACCGGGCCTGTACCGGTCCCAGCGTATCATCTATCATCGAGCTAACTTTTTGTTTTTGGCAAATGAATTCTGCGTCCTGCTCGTTGTCGAGGTGTTGGTCTGAAACTCCCAGAACGGTTCACAGTTTTTAAAAAATCGAGCACCGGCTGGGAGAAAGTTTCTGAATTTTGGGGGCTGCAACAGTCAGAGTATTTAAAAAAAAAAGAGAGACTAGTGGGTGGATTTCTCTTAGAGTTTCTTTGCCATCAAATATGTGCAGTGAGTCAGCTCGCCTCCAGAATGTGGTAGCGAACAGACGTGTGTTGGTTTCAGCAGGGAGTTGAAACGCTGCACAAGAAAGAACTCAGTAAAGTGGAAGAAAACTCCAATATATATATATATAAAAAAGAAAAGGAGCAACAATATAAACCAGCGCTTCAACACCAAACACTACCGTTAACCTCTAGAACCAGCAGAATGACGGAACAAACCCGTTTAGAGCTGATTACGGATACATGAAGGTACAAATAAAACACAAACGCTAAGAATTTATTGTGTTTTTATGTATTCGCTAATAAAAAATCCACCTTGATCCAACTCTGGAGATTCTCGATTTGTCAGACAAACTGAAAGATTAAGTGTTCCTTTATGAAGGGAGGGAAATTCTCCAACTCCATCAGAGCAATAAACCGTTTAAGACCCGCCGGATTAGCTGAGAAACGCCACGTCCAAATGATTCTTCTGGTTTTTGTTTTTTTTTTTTGTGTCTTGAGATGCATGATTTTCAGAGATGATATATAATCTGAGCACGGAAAGGGAAATATATGGTCTGATACTGTTTAGACAGTGACTGAGAAACCCCTTAAAGTAAGGGTTTTTACTGACTTTAAGGGTTTTTACTGACTTTAAGGGGTTTCACTTGCTTTAAGGGGTTTCACTTAGTTTAAGGGTAAGTAAGGGTTCGTTTTAGCATCATTTCATCATTTCATTTGTAAATTCTCAGCCGTTTAGTGTTATTTATTGCTGTAGTCTTTCATGTTGCTCAATATTTTATATCTGATAAAACTTCCACAGATAAACCATCTACAGAAAGAAATAAGGCTCAAATTACTTATAAGAAATTTGCAAATTGTGACAAATTATATCATTGTTATTATATGGTTATAGTTATTATATAATTTTTAAAAATAAGTTAAAAATTATCCTTAAAAATAAAATAAAAAAATTATAGATTATTATTTTATAATTATAATATATTTTTAAAATAATTAAAAAAATAATAATAATAATAAAATAGAATCAAAAAATATCAGAAAAAATAAATTATAAAAATTACAAAATTATTATTCTACAATTATAAATATATATATATATATATATATATATTTTTAAATAATAATAATAATAATAAATAAAATATGGTATTGTGTGAACTATACCTGGCAATAAACCTGTTTTTGATTCTGATTCTGAAATAAATAATAAAATAGACTCAAAAACTAAATTTAAAAATCTACAATTATTATGATATATATTTTTAGAATTTCTTAAATTCTTAAAAATATATATTCTGCAGGTAATTTGGAAAATAGGGCTGTTGCACTTCTGTATCCTAACACGGACTCACGTTGGCCCGGCCGGAGGACATGAGGATGGCGAAGTGTGTGAGGTGGTTGCAGGAGCAGGTGGTTGCGTTGCTGCTGACGTGCAGCGTCTTGCAGCCGTGAGTGGCCCAGCGGCCCTGCAGGCTGCCGGCTTCGTACTCCCAGAAGGCGCATTTGGTCACATCGGCTTTGGTGTCGATGGGCTTCAGGGAGGAGGAGGAAGAAGAGGAACAGAGTTAACGGCGGGTTTTATTAGTCGTTCAACAGCAATGTGTAAAACGAATTATTATTAGTGGAGCTGATACCAGAAGTTAGTGTGTTATTTAAATTTATATTAATGTGTTTTTTTCTCAAATCACTGCTTCGTTTTGCATCAGTTTGTATTATTTCTGATTTAGAATGACTCATAGTTTCAGGACTTGCTGTTAAAAATGTAAAATGCAGTAAAATAGGAGTCATGCAGTGTTTCTGCAGCACACGAATCTCAGGGATCAATAATTAGGATTGTTGTGAATATATATACATAATCTTATTATTATTTTCTTTATTTGTTTTATTCCCTTTTTGCAATGTTTGACAATTTGATTTATTTATTTCTGCTATTTCTATCTCTCTCTCTGTCAATATATTGCCTACTGTTTACACTTTCCATTATTTTTATGTTTATTCTGTGATTGTTTTGTTGTTTATTCGTGTGCTGCTGCCTTTCTCGGCCAGCTCACCCTTGTGACAGAGGATTTCGATCTCAGTGGGTCTTTTGTTTGGTTAAATAAAGGTCAAATAAAAATAAAAAATAAATGCATATGTATACATTCATATTTTTATTTCTTGTGTGTTTTTGTTGTGGAACAGCTGCACAATGCATTTCATTGTGCATGTATAAATGTGTTTGTGACAATAACAGACGTCGAATTCTTGAATAAAACAACCTGAAATGTAGTTTTAGATTTTAATAAAAATCTCTCCTATGTTCACTTTCGATTTGTATTCAGCCCAACTTGCATTTTTTATTGTTTGTAAATTTGTTTTTCGAGGATTAAAAACACGTGTGCAAAAAAATATTAATAACCGATGAAGAAAAATAAAAATAAAAGTCAGTGCATCACAAGAAATGAGTGCAGAAGGGTCTGGATCGATGTTATTGATCGAAGGCAATTTGCAGACGAATTTTCACTGCAAATTATTTATCAGTAAAACACAAACATTTAGGAATAATTCAGATAAATAAATGCCATAAATGTGATTTTAAAAAAATCTTTATTATGTTTAAATTCAATTGGATTCAGACCAACTGCATGTTTCATGTTTGTTTTAATTTAAATCAATGATACTTGTGCATGAAACAGGATCCATGTTAATTAAAAGTCAGCTTACTTGAATATTGTGGTAATAATTAAGATTCAATCAATAAATAACAAACAAAATAATAAATAAAATGTGGTTTTGTGGTTGGATTTTTTTTTTAAAACAACAAAAACAAGATTACATTCGTCTGGATTTATATTCTTCTTGTTTTCATCTCCCCTTAAATTAATGTGTGATAAAAATACTGAATAAAATAATCATCGGTACGACTTCACCTGCAAATTACCTCTAAAGAGCAACAATCAATAAAACGGAGTCTAGTTTAGAGCAGAGAATCTTTATTTATCAGTCTAATAAATATATCTGTATTATGTTTACATGCAATTAGATTTAAATGTACAAAGATTTAAAAATTCAGCCTAAATGACTAATGTGTGCAAAAACACTGAACAGGTGCAGAAAGAAGAAAAAAACCAGACTCCATGTTATTGATTGTTGCTCTTTAAAGGCAATTTGCAGAGAATTTTCGGCGCCCGACATAAATCAACACCTCCTTTGTTGGGCTTAAACCTCGAGGGCCCAACAAAACTAATGATTTCACTTTCTCATACATTTTAATTATCTTAAAATAAAATACCAGTACATTAACTTTTAGGGTTATTTATCTCATCATCTCTTCACGACTCCTCTGCTGTTTCCTCTTAAACGAAAGGTCATTGCATTAATACGCGGCGAGGAATCGTAAAATTTTGCATGAAAACTTTTTTTTGTTGCGCGGCGGCTCCTCCCAGGTGAGTTTGTTTAAATTTGACTTTAATGGAAACTCGGGCCGGTTATCGGGTTACCGCCAGACTCGACGTGGGAATAAAGACGCCGCTCAGCCTGACGAGGATTTATGTGATGAGATACGGAGGAGAGACGCCGACAAGATGCCGTTAGTTAATGAAGACGAACGACTCAAAGTTTTATCAGCGGCTTAATGTCTCCGTCGCTGGATCAGTTAGAGCCTCAGAAATCCTCAAACATCAACGATTTAACGTGATTTTATCTTGAATACTTCACAACGAAGATAAAAACTATTTCACAGACGTTTCACCTTTTAAAAACTGCAAATATTTGTTCGTTTTTGTTTGACTCTGAAATTAGCAAACCATTGCTAACAAGCTAAGTTCGTTAGCGAACTGATGCTTCTGTTGCTTTTCTTGCCTGCAGGTGGCGCAAAAGACACTTCTATTCTGCAAGTAAACGGCTGCACAAAGCATTTAGGCCCCATTAGTGACTTTATCACCAATAAATTACGCTGCGTGAAAGTTTAAAACCACACAAAAATGAACAATATAGTTTCTTACACCGACAACAGGAAAGACTCTTTGCAATAAAAACACTTCATAAATTGAGCTTATGTACCGTAAATTCCAGACGATACGCCACTACTCTCTTCCCACGCGTTGAACACTGCGGCTTAAACAACGATGCGGCTAATTTATGGATTTTTACGAGTTTTACGAATTTGCCTCGAGACCAAAGTGTGTGAGGAAGTAATTCTGAGGCTGTTCAACTCCGACACTGAAGAAGACGACTTTAGTGGTTTTAGTGCAGGAGGAAGATGAAGATAGACATCAATGACTTTTCCTGGTAGGCTGCTGTAGTTTTTATTTTCTTTACCAGCCGTGTTACAGGCACTGTTTGGAAAAAAGCTTTTATGTATTTGTGTAGGTTACCGGTATGTATTTAATTAAAAGTTAAAACATCTTTCTGTGTAAATATCTCATGTTTCAACGTGGAAACCTGCAGCTTATAGACAAGTGCGGCCTGTATATGTACAAAGCTAGTTTTCTTTTTAAAGTCAGTGGATGTGGCTTATATTCAGGTGCCTCAATAGTCCAGAAACTACAGCATTTGTGTTTTGTCTTTTGCACACACTGTAAAACACCATCGGTACATTTAGTCAAATCAACTCACCTTTCTATGAATTTTGCTTCTTTCACATTATTTTATTTTCATTTTCGGACCACTTTAGAACCCAAAAAACTTCTTATGATGTAAAATGATGAGTTGAAAGAACAGACAGCTGATTTAACTCACTAAATTTAGTTTTATAAGAAACTAAACCTGCAGGCTTTGGGTTCACGTTGGAGAGTTTAAACTCCACAGAGGCAAATTTTAACGTCAGGTTTTTCTACACATTCTGTTAGTTTTGATAATTAATTTTCATGCACGATAAAACAAACTAATTTAGTCGAATCAACTCAAATTTTGTATTTTACGTCATATAAAATATAAAACGTTTGCTAATTTCTGCTTGAAGTAAAATGTCGTGAACTTTATTTTGAACAGCTCTTTAGGACTTAGAATCGTGAACCGTTGTAACAAACAAGTTTATTCAAGTCATTAAATTGGGTTGATAAGAAATAAAACTCCTCACAGACTCTTGAGTTTGCAGACATGATGAAAACTTGCTGCGTTTCTTTAATACATGTTGAATTAAGCTCTGGTTGTTTGTTTTCATCATACCGTCACTGATAAGTGTAATCATTTCATTTTCTAGGACTAATACTTGTGTGTTTGGTTTGTTTTTATTATTATACTTTATTAATCCCACAGTGGGGAAAATTGCAGCAAACGTTTAAGAAATAAAGGATTATTCTTTTAATCTTAAGTCTGCTCTAACTCGGGATGCACGATATATCAGCGACCACATCAGTATCGGCCGATATTAGCGTTTTTTTTCCCGATATATCGGTATCGGTCCGATGAACAAATTTAGCTGATGATTGTCTAACATCAGCACCTTCGTCTCTACGTTTGATATCGCTGCTACTTCACAGATGTTTTGACTTAAATGGTCCTGGACTTAAATATGTTTTACTTTTATTATACGACAAAGAGTCTATGTGGTCTAATTTGGGCTTCTTTTGAATAGTTTCCTCACAGTGCTTACTTAAACGCATTTTCATTGCGAACAAAATTTGCATATCGACATCGGTAAAATCGGTTATCGCGATATCAGAAATCTTAATATTGGATATCGGTATCGGCCAGAAATTTGAATATCGTGCGTCACTAGTTCTAACGTTACGGAGGTGAAATTCAGCCACTTGTAGATTTAGAATTTATCAACGACAAAACCGGAAGTTCTCAAAGTTTAAAAAAAACATAGAAAATATAGACTCAAGTCCGTCTGGAACTGTCGTCTGTGGTTAGTTGATTCAACTTCTTTAGTTTATTGAACTTGTTTCCTCAAGTTCGGCTAATTTAACTCGGATGGTTTTACACTTTCCACAACTCTTCGACCTGATGATCTAAACAAAGTGCTCACATGTTTAATTAGATGTAAGAACAAACTTGAATGACTTCCAGCAGAACCAGCGACTCTTTTAAAGGCGTTCATCACCGGAGCAGCAGTGCAGCTTTTACCTTCGCGTGTCTCAGCGTGTAGGTGACGTGGTCCAGTTGGTAGACGTCGGCCGGCTTGACGGCGGCGGCGACGACTTGGGAGTTGACGGTGATCTCTCCCGTCCCGGCGTACCTGGAGTAGTCGGTGACACCCGGGTCGCCGCTGGGCTTCAGGATGTCACCGAGGCTGTCGTAGCGCACGAACACCACCGACACGCTTCCTGACGGACGAGAGACAGAGTCAGCGGGGAGTCGGAGTTACTGAGACAAGTGGATTTACATGCTCGGTTCTATCGGTCGACTGAGGAACAGAAGGTGGACTTCAGCTCGTGGTCACAGTCCTTCAGCATCACGGCTTTCTCTGATAGATTGTTTAGTTTTTGCAGAGACAGGAATTAATTAGACTTTAATGTAGAGATGTCACAAAGAATCGACCTTTTATGTAACAATATTCTATTTTCATCCATTACACTGAATACTTATGATGTTTATTCAACATTTAATATGTGCATTTTTACATTTTAGGCTTTTTTTTTTTCCTTCTTCTGCTTTAATTTCTAAGATTGAGAAATTAGATTAGGAAAAAAAGAAGTAAAGAGGTGAAACATGCATTAAAAACACAATCCAGCTGCTTTTGAATGAAGTTATTTTAGATTATTTTAACCTGGATGACTGTTTACACTCAACAAAATTAATATTATTCACTTTTTTCTGTAGCTAATGTTCGCGACACTCCCCCTTCACCCGCTCATTTGGTTTTATTCCACCTAAACTCAGGGTCTTTACCGTTTCCGTCGCCCTCTGGCCTCTGTTTGGGCGTCAGGTTGATGTGATCTCCACCCATGGACGCAGACACTCTGGCTTTAGTGTGACGAGCGTCCAAGGTGACGAGTTTTAATTCTGGCGGATCGAGGATAAGAAACACAATCGGGAACGTCAAGGACATTATCCAGAAACCTTTCAGGAGAACATCTGTGGACGCTCTGAGCCGTCTCACCCATTTCTGGAGCTTTGATTTCGATCTCGGTCGGGGTTTTGTAGTTTCCGGCCAGAGACAAGGCGCCTTCCTCCACGACGTGCAGCAGCTTGGTGATGGTGTGTTCTCGACGCTCCTCTTTCATCCGGCTCCAGGCCACCAGCTCGTCCTTCTCCACCAGGTTGCTCACCGCTTTCACCAGTTTCTGTTTGAAAAGACGTTTCGTGCACGGTGACATAGGATGTGAAGAACGACTTAATCAGAAGTGGTTTGATGTTTGTCTCTTTTGGCTTTAATCACTAAAAGTTTCTGTTTGCAGTGTGCAAGAGACAAACCCATGGAGAACTTTAGTGTAGATTTTATTATACTTTTGGCAAAATATGGTCATCCTCAGACCCAGAACTACCACTGGACTGTATGTAGTTCCATTTCCCACCCATTAAAACCAGTTCAAGGCGTAGACGCAGCTCTAAAAGTTAAACGGAAGTTACCGAAAGAGTGGCGTTGATGGCGGACGGTGGGACGGTGGAATCCTTCGAAGCGGATCGGCTCAAGGCCTCGACGTACGCGATCACCTCCACCGAGGTGAGCTCGCCGGACGTCTGCTCGGCGATTTCCTTCAGCAGAGTTTGGGGCTCGGTCAGGTTGCTCATCTGGAGGGAAGAAGCGGATTCACAAGACTTCTTTAAAATGTTAAAATACGTCCATTTTTGTTGGTTCCTGTCTTTAAAATGACCAAAGTTTGCACTAAAACATATTTATATTTCTTCGATGACGCTTGTATTTGGCTCACACATGCTGACTTTGAAGTTTCCCTACAAACAGGAAACCGGTTCATCATTCTGGTCCAACACCTGCAGGAAGGAAAAGCTCCAGCAGCAGCAGTTTAGACTCATGCACCGGTTCCAAGTGGGAAGTCTTTTTATTATTATTGATGCTTTGTATATAATAGACTTAATCTCTAAAGCAGTTTTTTGTGGGGAAAAAAAGTTCAAAAAAGCTTTATATTAATTTAAAAACAAAATCATATCAAACAAACAATTCACAGGAACATAAACAAGATAAAACCGTTGAATTATGCCGTTATACATTAACTCCAGTAATGCGGGTTATTATTGGTCAAAATGGGCAGTTAATGTTATTTAAGTTGTAATTAGAACTCAGTAATTCACATTTTAGGGATTAAACCTGACAAAACTGTTATAAAACACTAATACCAATACATATTAAGACCCTCAAGTCTTTATTAAATATGCAAAATAACCCAATTAATGTAATAACGAAGCTCGACACGACGATATTATAAATGATGGAACTAAAACCAAACATTGGTGATTTTTTATTCTTTGTTTTTGTTGTTAGCCGACACAAACAGAACTTTACGCTATTTTACGCTCTATTAAAATAAAAAAAAGCAGTTTGTGCCTGCAGATGGCGAACATCTACGTGTCCTGCTGTCGCTTTTCTTGCCTTTAGGTGGCGCAACAGAGCTGCAGGTGAACCGTGTAGCGTCTGGATCGTAGCAGCTGCTGCTCTGTGTGTTTTTATATACATCCAACAATTATATTTAAGCCTGTTTCCAATTTTATTCATTTTAATTTATTTATTTTTGAATTGGAAATGCACATTAATCAACAATCACACACATGCAGATGAACCTGCGTTCGTCTAATGCTGGTTTTATTTGTCTGATGCCTTCAAAACAATAAAAAATAATATGTGCAATAGTTGCAAAGCACATACAGATGAGGAAGCATGTCAGTCCTCTTTCTGACCAACAGAGGGCAGCGTCTTCACATCTGTTTCACCGTATTCGGATGTGAGGATTGTTACTCACATATTCCAGTGTTTTGTTGACGGCTCGCGTCACGCAGCCGGCGTTGTCATGGCAGAATTTCTGGGGATGCTCTGCAAAAAAAATACAAAACCAAAAAAAAAAAAGAAAAAGGAGCCGTCAGTCGTCGGCAGCGTTCCACCGGCGTGAAGGCCGCTACAGCAAAGTGTGAGTAAAGCTGCACGGAGACGACACCACATAACTGCCTTTGTCATCAGCCTCGCTAAAGACAAAAGACAATTTAGGATTGCAGCGTTTACTTGATGTATTGCATAATCTCTCCCCTCTCCATAAAAAAAAAAAATGTTTCAGATGGTCTCTGTGTTGTGTTGGAGGAAGTTCAAAAAATGAAAAAAGAGATGAAGAAATATGTACGCCCTTGAACGTAAGTCGCTGCGAGTGTGTGTGTGTGTGTGTGAGTGTGCTGCACCGACCTTTACATCTCACACCTCTCTCTGGATTAAAGTGCTTAGCGCCTGAAGTTGGGACGTAATCACGCTGACAGGTGCAATAGAAAGATCCATTCGTATTATGGCAGCGTGAGTTTGGGCCGCAGAGCTGTCCGGACCGGCATTCGTCAATATCTGCAGGATGCAAATGGAGAGTTCGGCTGCAGTTACAGCGAACGGAAACTCTACAAAACACAGAGTCCTGGCAGCATTTACTCCTCAAAATACTGATCTCACTTAGTCGGAGTGTGCGGCTCTTGCAGAACATTCAAACCAGAATCTAAAACCAGCTGTTGGTTGGATCATAGACTGTATAAAAGATGGACGTAGCAACCGGCCC